TAACGATATTTATTTTTCTTTCAACAATTTGGTATCTTCAAACAGCCTTAAATAAGAAATACTTTACCGTTCTTAACACTTTTTCTTTGTAATATCTTTTTATGAAAGAAAGAAAATAAGATAAGAAAAAGACTGGAAACTTGTTGAATATCGTTAAACGTAAATCGTTTCAACTTCGAAATTAATTTCATTATAATAATACTAAATCGTCCATCAAAGAAATTTGTTAATTATGAGATAGTATGATCAACGAGAACGACCAATTAGCATTTGATTTATTTATTAGTACAATAATCTATATCGAATTTCAATAGAACTCGTTAGTAGGAAGAAAATTTGCAAACGGCGTGAACTCGAGGAAGGAGAGAGAAAAAAAAATATTGATTTGCATAATAAAAGAATTGAATTAATTTGAATAACGTTAAATACCGATAAGAGTACTTTAAATGAAGAAAAATGGGAACACTTATTCTTCTTCAATTGCGCAGACAGAGAGAATAAAAAGTTACATATCGGCCTATTATTAAAAGCGTGATCGCGTAGCGTTTCCTACTTCCATAAGAATTTATAAATAGTTATTACATACTTTTCATTGTACGCATTCGACATTTACATATAAATTGTTACGGAATAATAATGAAGACAGCAAATTCTATTAGATCACAATTACTTCATTGTGAAGCTTTCTAATTAACATTACTCGCGAAACAATTATTAATCAAATTGTAATAATTGAATATCATTATTATTGGCACACGATTTACAAAAAAAAAAGAAATATCTATATTAAAAGTTCGCGAGAAAGCTCGATCGGCACAATCGTTCGATATAATATAATTTATAAATAAATACGTAATATAACACATATATGTGTATGTGTGTGTGTGATATATGCATTTAATTATAAATTCATATTACGTTTGGTATTTTTTATTTCAACGAAATAAATAGCACTAGAAGTTTAATCAACATAAGACGATACTTTATTTTAATAAGAATTTCGCATTGTGATAAAGTAAAAAAGAAACAAAAAATAAAGAATACACCTTTCTTCTCTCTATCTTTCTTTACAACACCCTCTTTACACTTGCAGAGTCATTAATTTTCACTTTAGGAGTGCCTACACATTTCTTTACTTTTCACGAACTTCTTCAGTACCGTAGTAGTATATATATATATATATAACGGGGTATTCTTTTTGTTGTTTCCCAACCATCAAAAGATATCCATACTTTTTTCGAGAAAATAAACTCCTTCGGGAAAAAAAATTATAGATTTAAATATAATACGATATAAAAGTTATTAACAATTCTATGATACTGATAATTTCATACTTTTCAAGATATTTGCTCATATATATTGAAACGATCAAATGAATTTTCATTTTAAATAAAATCGTCATATCTATGCTAATAATATACTTCTGTACACACATAATGCGTAAATTTTTAATCTCATTTCTTAAAATAATGAAAAAAAAACAAGAAGATTCACCACTTTTTTCGATCACTAATGGAAACAAACGATTATAACTACTAACATTCGGATTTCCTTGTTAAATCAAATAATCGGGCGAGTAAGATAATACTATGCGCTAATTGTTGTGGTTATCGTGTAATTATTACCTACTATGTCATCTACTGAAATTCTCTCCTATCGTCAATTTTGTAGTATTGATCCGTTAAATGAATTGTGTATTTTGCGTTTGATTGTTAACGTCATCAATAAGACGTTAATTTTATTTGTCAACATTGTTTATTTGACACGAAACATTTTCTATTGTATAAAAGCTACGAAATTCTATAATTATATATTATGATTAGACTAATGAGTTGACATAACAAAATAAATTATTTATTCGAGCGGAAAATAAACATTTTTCTTGGTTACATTGGATGTACAAAATTCATTTTATCAATGAGAAAAGAAAGTAAATTTTTATACAACTCTGTAAAACAAAAAAACATTGTGCATACCTAAAGACTTTAATTGGATAATAAATTAATTATTTTTAAGTTCAATAAGAAACAAAAACCTTTTTAGAACACTCTCAGTATTTATATTAACTTCGAATGATAATATCATTTTACTTTGTCACAATTTTTGCAATATCTGCATCCGTAAATGCGAAATATTATTCTGTATAATTACCATGTAACGATTTTATAATAAGAATAATTATAAATATGTTAATTACTGAGGATAATCCTTTTCGGAAATAAAAACTAAACGAAACTTTTTATTTCATAAATCTAAACTAATTATTTCATGAAATGATTGACATTGTCAGTTATATAATAATGTGATAAATTTATTTCTATTTTTGTTTTTTTTTTAGACTACATCAACTCGTCATAAAAATTGATGTTTATAAACCGTTACAATTTTCATCGTAAAAAAACTAAATATTACGTAGATGGAAATAATGATTCCTAAGCTTTGCATTTCAACATTTATATTTCCTAACGATCGTGCTTCGTAATTACGGAAGGAGTATAAAGAAGGATTAAGGAATACGTGACATTTCATGAACAATTAACTTAGCTTTCCATGTAATTGTGGAAACAATGACTCTACAATCAATATGAGCTATCATAGGTTATACTTGATACACAGTATGACCTTGGGTATTGTCACGTCTTGAGGATTTAAAAAAAATCTTTCATTATCGTGATTTAACAAAAATTACAATAGTCCTTGATTTTCTAAACATAATAATTATACTATTCAATGAATTAATATATATAATATATTTACATTTCGATAGCAATTAATACGTATAATCGAAAGTCTTAATAATATTATTTATCGTACATAATTAAGTGTTAATCATGCGTTTAATTTAGATTCTATATTTATACATTAATATCTGATGAAAATTTGCGATTAATACGCGAACTCGAGAAAAGGATTAATTAATATTAATTTATTTTTATTATATATCACCTTCGTAAATATCATTCAAGTATCCATTTTTTTTCCAACGTAGAACAAAACATTACAAATAATCAATGTTAAGACGAATCTCGTATATTATATTTATATATTTTAAAAACAATGGAACAATATTGTTATTATCGCCAATGAAAAAAAAAATTCTCTCAATTTTTCTCGTATTTTAGAATTTTTTTTCGTATATAAATTTTAACGACGTTGAAATGTTTTTTAGAATAAAATAAATAAATAAAAAAAAAAACCAAACAGAAAAGAACACAAAAGAAACGCTTCAGCGATCTCAAAGGAGATAACTATGCAACTTTTATCATTCGGTTTAGTTGGAAAGTTCGTTTTCCATCTGTATGTCTATTTCTCTCTTTTGTTTCATGCACAAATGGGTCGGGTGTTCTATTTCTGTTAGAGAGTTGCCTATACTTATTGCTAACGTTGAATATATAGAAAAGTCCTTGTAAAACCTCTTATCGTTTGTAAACCTTATCTACTTTGTTTGCATTCGAGTTGATTGTTTTTTCATTTTTTTTTTATTCCTATACGTTTTTCCCCCACCTCCTGTCCCCACCCCCATAAAAATCCTCACCCTCTTACTAAGCACGAGAGTTACACAACACGCCTATAGGGTCACGATTAGTATATGCGTGCACACACATACACACACACCCACATGTACAATAGTGCACCATCCCCCATCCTCCCTCCCTGACCAACATTTGCCATAATATTATTTATAACATCGTAACTTTACCTTTAACATTAACGATCGATTAATACGAAAATATCGATATGGCACGTTATTTACAGATAAATAGCATAACGATTCTTGCGGAATGATCTATTTAATTGAATTTATTTGAAGCATTAATATAATCGAACGGGATAGTAATTTCAATGATACAATATCATCGCGAAAAATGATAGCCGTGTTACTGATCGGATCAATTTTAAATTGGCAAACTATATTAATCACTTTTGATTTTGCAGTTAGTTCGTTAACTACGAATGGGGGAACGTTTACAAGGAGTAATAAACGTTTCTCTTTCTAATCTTTTCTTTTTTTTTTTACTTTCAGTTCGCGCAAGGATTACGGTACGATTCTTTGTAACGAGGTTAAATGGATTCAACTAAAAGTAAATTACAATACCTATAGCATTCGAAAGATACGGAATTGTCTGGTTTTGTTTCTTCTTTTTTTCTATTTCTTCCAGTTTAAAAACAACCCAATAGATTTTTAATAAAAAAGAAATTTTTTGTTTAAATTTAAAAAAAACAAAAAGCAAAGTTTCTTTTAAAATCAAATTAGAGATTTAATCGTTGGAATTGTCCTTCCTGTTAATTTCGTTTTGTTTTTCGTCTTTTGCTTTTGGTTTCAATTCGAAAACTAATTTTATTCAAAGGGCTAACTAAAAATCAAACAGCGTGGGAGGGGCGAACTTGAAAATATAGAGGCAACCTATCTCTAATTTTTTGGTATAATTTCAAATGACGATCATATCGAACAAATAATATTACTTACAATTTAGAACAAAAATTACATGAATATATATATGTATGTATAATATTTCTATAACGATTTGCAAGAAAACAAAAGAAGAAAAAGTATCGATGAAAAGTCCAAACATTTGTGTGAAGTTTTGAAAATAATAATCTAAGAAAAAAAAAAATAAAGAAAAATAAAAAACTTTGGAAGTTAATACCACTATACTAAATGTGGTGGTAAGTACATTTTGGCTTTAGCCTCTTTTGCTGTCCCCTAAATCCAACCCACCACCCCATACGCGCGTTGGGGTAATAAATAAGGCCATATATTCTTCATCCTCCATTATCTTAATGTTATAAACGGGTGAGGTGTAAAATGTTGAGTTTTTTTTTGTATATGTGTGAGAGAGTGCACAACACGTTCGTCAAATTATTCTTCACAATGGCGGTGCGGTTAAGTGCACAGAACAACCAAATAGATGGATGTCGAGAAAAGAAATTTGAGATATATACTGTAGGCTCGTAAAAGTTGTCCACAGGACTGACAAAAGGTATACTTTTTACTGACAATGGTGTTGCACGACGACAACGACAACGACGACGACGACGACAGAAGTAACTGGAATTTTTATGCAGGCCTACAAATGTGTGAGTTGTACTTAAATTCACAAAAATAATCTTTTCCCGATGAATTAGGGTGAAATCAAAAGTTCGTGCGTTTATTGCATTTAAATTTTACATCGAAACTACGTAATGGATTGTTTTTGTAAGATTTATTTTGGAAATAATTCATTTAAAAACGCACAAACTTTTAGTTCACCTTAATAACAACCAGAAAAGAAAAGAAAACACGAAAATTACGAGAGAGAGAGAGAGAGAGAGAGAGAGAGAGAGAGAGAGAGAAATAAAGTATTTAGAATCGCATCATTTTTCGAGAAATATCTTCGAAAATATTTTTTTTCATTTTTTATTGCTTCGTAAAAAACTCATCATCGTTTATTTTCTTTTGATATGATATTTATTACAAATACCGGTATAGGGTATTTCTAACAAATACGTTCTTCTTTCTTTTTTTCTCTCCCAACCCTATCCCTCCCCCTACATTTCAGTCTTATCACTTAAAATAAATGGGTATTCGTATAAGTACCTTGAAAGCAAATATGATTTATTATTGGAACATGAGTATTCAGAGGATAGAGAAAAAACAAAAAGAAAAGAATAAAGGATAAAATTCTATGGTATGTCACGAAGAATACTTACTCTTTTATGAGATATAATATTATTTGTATGGAATTTGAAAGAATAATTAGATCAGAGAAAAACTACGTGACCCTGAGAGAAAAGGAAATCTTTGTTTCCTTTTTTCTTTTTCCTTTTTTTTTTGTTTTTTATTTTTTATTCAAATTGGTTCATTTCGCACAATCGCTTTGAGTCTCGTGACTGTTTGAATATAAAAAGCATGAAATCTCGATATCATTTGCAAATCGATTTGCTCGAGAGTAAATGGAATGGAATATGAATTGGATTGCGTTAGACAGTTATTTTTTATTCACGATAAAACTATGCCGATTTAACAAACAAACAAAAAACAATGGGGGAATTTTCTTTGAAATAATATTATGAAAAAAAGACAAAAATCGTATACGTGAGCTATTTTATTAAAATATCGATTTTTTTTTTATTTATATCTGTGATCATATACGATACAAATGTAACATCGTGTGTAAATAAATAATTACATGAGGGGAAGAGAAAATGGGGGTGGGGGTTAATATATTCAATTGATACCAGTTAAAATTCTGTGAAATTCTGTTAAAGTAAATTCGTTGAAAATAGTTTGTTACGAGACGAAAATAATAAATAGTACTCAGAGATTTCATTGCTTTTATGTTAGCCACGTAAACGCAAATTTAATTTTCTCACAAGAGGGAGATACGATTGAATGGAACGCAATCGAACAGTATGTTAAAATCAGTTTACAACAGTAAACGCGAGAAAGCTGTCGAGGTAAAACTAATCTGAAATGGTATTGGGTTTTGAGATAAAGAAGACGTTATATATTTCCAGTATTTCTTAAAACGAAAGTCTCGACCCTTTAGAAAGGTCTGGCAAAAAATGTGGAAAAATTTTGCTCCTTATTAATTTTGTTTTCTTTTTTTTTTTTTAATTAATTTCTTACCATGAACAAAAATTCGTATTTCGCGTAAGTATTCCACATAAATAGACAAACTCGCGCGTCCCGTTAAATTTTAATTTCAACATATTGTTTAACAATATTATTAATATCGTGGTAGATTTTTATTAATTTTTTGGTTTTATTTCGTTTAATTTTGCTCTATTGCAAATACTTCTTTTATTCGATTTTCTTTTAGTTCTCGTGTGTGATATATCATATTAATACACAAATAATTTCTAAGATGATTTTTAGTATTACATTTATATTATTAATTAAATAATATATATATAATATATATTATTATTTATTTATTTAGTATTTCTCTCGTCCAAAAATTACAATTTTTAATGATGAAATTTAACAGGGAACTTGGACATGAAAGAAGTAGAACTATGTTTGATTTAGTTGGACGTTTCGTCCCTTTATTGGGACTTNTTTTTTTTTTTTTATTTCTCTTTCATTCTTTCCGCAATATCCGCCTTTAGACGTTCCAACAACGATTTTCTAGTTATCCATGGATTGTGAACAATCCATAAACCGTTCCCGATGATATTTCAATCGCATATTTAAAGTCGATGATACGAAATGAAATTGTGTATTTTCAATTAATACGAAAGATTAATAATTTATTCGTTGAAAATTTTGTATTATTCCAATTTTTGTATTTTTGATTTTTTTTCTTATTTTTCAGGGTAAAAAGTAGCCAAGCATTGCACAGAACTTTTAACGTTGATCCGCTTTATTTGAAACACGAAAATTCTGGTAAGATTGTGATTTATTATTTCATCATTGATATTTATCAATTTTTTATATTTATATATATTAACATTTGTCATTTTCGTAGGACTCGCTATTGATTTTATGGTTAGTATACAAATTTAATTGAATAAACAATATTGAAATATTATTTTAATTTATCTCTAGTGTTTGTTTTTTCTTAAATAATTTATCTAGCATTGGCAATTACCGTTGTCGAAGAGATTCCGAGCATTGAAACTTTGGTTCGTAATCAGGAATTTTGGTATAAGTGGATTACAAAGGCACATACGCGAGGTAAAAACAAAATCAATTCACGCGTTGTTTAATTACGAACAAAGAAAAAAATAATAGTCTGATTAAAATAAACAATACAATTGATCGAACATATATTATCTAGGGCATAAGATTGGCACAAAAGTTTGAAGCATTGGTATTGGCAGATCCGCGTTTTGAAATTCCTGCTACGCGACATTTAGGTTTGGTTGTATTCCGTTTACGGGGTGAAAACAATTCAACTGAAAGATTGTTAAAAAAAATGAATTCACGTGGCCGCGTACATTGCGTGCCAGCTTCGTTACATGGAAAATACGTCATCAGATTTAGCGTAACTTCTACCAAGTAAGTTCTTCTAACTTTATTTATTTATTTATTTATATTTATTAGATTGAACCCAAAATATTTTCGTGCATTTATTTAAATTTAATTAATATTTCACGTGTATACATTAAAGTGATAAAGTTATTTCATTTTATTGATTTCACACAATATTCCTGCAAGCAACACAATATACGCACGAATATTTTTGATTCATTCTAATATTTTTGGTTTTTTTGTGTTCACATTAAAATTAATAATATATTAATTATTATAATTTATTATATAATAAAATATATATAATAAATATATAATATAATTAAATATAATATATTTGTACCACTGTGTGTAGAAACGTTTAGAATATGAGTCTTATACTTTTCGTTGCATAAGTTTGATTTTTTAAGAAAGAGGGTGTGAAAAAGAGGTGGGGAAAAAGGGAATTCGCGTTACGGTGATCGATATGCAATTTTTTAGTTTCTATCTCTCTCTCTCTTTTTTCTTTTTAATTCTTTTCTCTTCAACGAGACAACACCTACGTCATCACCTTCGCTCGCGTTTTGTGTCGCGATAAGATAAGGATTATCCGTTCGGAATAGTTATTAGTTCCCATCACATCGATCGATAGACGATGGTTCATCTCGATAGGGAATACTTCAGACTATCCATTTTGTTTTTTAATCTTTTTTTTTTTCTTTTTTCCTTTAAAATATTTTCCTACCCAACGTTCGATATTTCTTTTCATATCGCACGACGTAGTTACATAAAAAGATTCCAATTGAAATCTTGAGATAAATATCATTGTCATGGGTACTTTATGGGGAAAGGACCATTAAGTTTCGTTATAGAAGACTAGAATATTAATAATTGCGATTGTAACCAATTACAATAGATTATTGTTAAAACATTGAACACACACACAATTTATCTTATTATTTATTTTATTATAAAATAGTAATTGTGTAGTTACGTATAATTTGTTCGACTTTATTCAACTATCATAATTTTAATTAGACAAGTTGACTCTTCTCTTATTGAAATTAATACTAAAAGATTAGTGTAATTAATAATAAATTAAAAAAAAAAGTTATATCAAGGATTGGAATTAGGATTTTGTGACATTAGGAAAACAAAGCTGTTTTGTATTTCGATTCTTTCGAGTAAACTTCTCAAAAAATTATACCCATTTAAATATATTCGCCAAAATTCGAACAAACGAAATCGAGAAAATCGATCGAACTTTGTGTTATGCAAATAGGTAGATTTGATAATCGATATAGTTTATGGTCGTAGAAACGGATAAAGAACTTGACGTTTTATTAATGCTGTCAAAATCAGCACAAATTTCGTTTTATAAGGTAACTACCTTCTAACATACCATTCCTGCAATACGGTTTTCGCTCTAACACGGTTTGGGAATTAAAAAATTCCCCATACAACATGGGACATAATTAGAATTTTTAAATTTAAGCATCATTTTATTCGATATTTTGCATTTGAACACGTATGTCATATTCAATAGGATATATTGTTGAATATTAGATTTTCAAATTAACTTTTTTTTTCAAGAGTATTCATTTACATGTATTTTTAACGCAATATTATTTTCAATATAGAAAAATAGTAATTAAACAAAAATATAGAAAAATTATCAATTTTTTTTTTTGTATTTATATTATAATAATGTTTAATATCGTTATAATATATAAAATATATTTATACATCGTTATAATTATTTATAATATAATAATTTATATATCGTTAATCAATTATTAATTGTTTCAATAGACACGCGTGTTTCTTTTATAAGACAAGTACAATATAATTTTGTCAATTTTTACAAAGAATCCTGCTTTTTTTTTGTAATAATTTTTATATATATATAGCACGAATTTGCATAATACGAAATTTTGTAAGAACCCCACGATTGTATTATAAAGGGTTTTATCTATATTTATTACGTTTACCTTTATTTTGATAAAAAAAAAATATTAAATTTTTTTTTTATTAAAAATAAACAAACAAAAATCAATGCCTCCATCCCCTTAACTTAAATCTTTTAAGAAATGGTGCGGGAACAACTTTGATTGGCTCAAAAGGTTAGTATTGATTTTCGTAGGGATCGTGCGCGTTCACAAGACGTCCGTACTTGTGATCTTCAGTATTCTTTGTGACGAATTGCATTACATCTTTTTTCTTTTTTTCACTGCTTTTTGCTATTTTCTTCATCTTCTTCTTTCATCACGTTTTATTTAAATCCAATTTTCTTGCTAAAAATTTGAAGCATTGTGATCATTAAAATAACGTAAACATTTTTTCTGTTCACTATACAAGCAAAAAATAAAAAAAAAATCCCGTTTTGATGCAAATAAGTAATAATGTAATATATTTATTACTTTTTTTAAATTTTCTTCAACATCATCCATCATGTTACGACGTGTAAAAACATACTATATTGTTTCAACGACATTATTAATATTTCGAAGAATTTTCAACAACTTTATTCATGATCCATACAATTCGTATTATTTATGCCTATTATTTCGAAATAAATATATATATATTTTTTTTTTAAGTATTTCCGTAACTATGATATATTTGAAGTAATTTTTTTAATTATTCTGTATAATTATGCACCCGTGGGCTAACCGTGTATCGTTTATGCCAATTTCATTTGATAGATTGTTTTCTTCTCGTGTCCATCTATTTTATATGAACCTGAAATAATATTCTTAAAACATTGGGATATTTGAAATTATTCGAGACCAATGTTATTATTGATTTTCAATAGATATATAGATACGCGATATGTAATAACTTCGCGAATCGTTCGGTAAATTTAAATATATATATAACAAAATATTTTCATAAGTATGATATTTTTAAAACGTGAAATAATTTGTTCGACTTATCCAAACACACGAGAAAAAATATCTCTTATTTAACAAACAAAATTGTCATGTTATTTTCGTGACATTACAATATTTTTTTTAATTTAACATTTTTATATCTACGAATTAATAATAAACAAAAATTTTTATTGCTCATCTGCCATTAGAAAAATTTGTAAATAATAGTATATAAAATATCCATGAGAGAGAGAGAGAGAGAGAAATATTATCGTTAATCACAGAATTTATCTTTCGATAGATCACTTTTTTTTTTGTAACGTTTGATAAATTGTCTTAATAATCGTGTTATCTAACTGCAATATAAATACATTTTCGATAAGACTGAAACGATAAATCAACGATTCATCCTACTTTCCAATGGACAGATTCTATGGATTATTATTACATTTCGTTGCGAGATAATTAATTACATAACGAATTTATAAACTATCACGTATCGAGACAGGAAACATTGAACGTCGAATTATAAAATCCAGAAAAATTATCGATCGGTGAAATTTATTTTGATTTGAAAATAAAACGATCATGTTAAAGATAATAAAATTTAAGCTCCTAGTATATGAATACGAACTATGAGCAAAAAATGCGATGATAAATTGCATTTGAGTAAACATCCTCTAAACATGTGCGTTATTAAATGATTTTAATAAAATTGTATTATAACAAAACATCTTCACTTTCCTGATAACAATGTTGACAAAATTTTAACATTCAATGTATTTTCTATTAAAATCGTTAATACACAATTTTAATAAAACATTTCGTAAAATGCAACCCCACGACAAATACTATTGCAAATTAAACACGACGTATAAATTATTATAAATATTTGTAATCAAATTATAAGCTATAGCAAAGGATAATGTGTAATAATAATAATGGACTTTGAAAGGACACGAGAATAAGAAAAAATCCAACAATATAAAGTTCATCCTTCGAATATTTCATACAAAAAGGAAAATTATAATCTTTCAAATGTGTATTATTTATACGAATAATACTAGCTTTTATAATTATTTAGTTTTTTTTTTGGTATAATATCATATTGACATTTATTTTGGTTAAATTTATTTACAAAATTATTAATTAAAGTTAGGATTGTGTAATAATGGTTTCGAATGTACACAAGAATGGGAAAAGTTCAATGGTATAAAGTACCATCCTTCAAAGAGTATTTTATGTGCAAAATAAAAATATATTTTTAAACGTACAAATATTATTCAAACGTTGATAATTCTTAACTTCTTTCGTAACATCGAATTGACATTGAATTTTTTGTCAAATTCATTCGTATAATATATCAATCTCACATATTCTCTTATCTATATATAGAATTTCTCAATGATTACGAGTTTTATGATGGAAAGAGGAAGTATAGTGGGTCCTTAAATCTATTCCTCTATTAATTACACTGTAATTAACTCTACAGAACACGTAGAAGCTTCTCAAGTAGTTCTATCTATTGCTATATATATATATTATATAGTTCCATCATGTTTAAAATGGAAGCGGCTAATAACATAAATATTATATAGCAAATATTTAACGCGATGAAGCTTTTCACCAAAATATAATTAACAATAAAATAACAATTTGTAATTTAATTAGACGACAACAAGACATTATAAAAAAGAAATACATTAATTACAACATTCCCATGTAAAATAGTAATAGAAATGAATCAAATAAGAAAAGGATTACAAGTAAACCCATTTATAAGAGCTTTTGAAAGTAATTTTAAAATTCTATCTTGTTGAGAATTAAAAATTAAGAGATAATATTGTAAACATTATTATATTTTAAACGATCAATAAAACATTATTAGAACGAACAGAAATTACTGGTTATACAAATTATTGGCTATGTACAGTTCATAACAATCGATGAACGGATAAATCAAATAAGACAAGAGATACGATTAGGCTATATAGAAACTTTTCAAACAGCTTTAAAGTTTTATCTTGTTCAAACTTGAAACTTGCTAATAACGTAAACATTATGGAGCAAACCATTTAACGCGATGAACTTTCTTAAAAGGTTTCAATTTTTACATTTATTCGAGCAAATCAAACATAAATATAAAAAGTTTCTATATAATATCAAATCATTGATAAAACGTAAAGGAACACAAG